TCTCAATATTTAATAACATAATATAATATCAATGAGACTGAAAAAAAAAAATTAAATTAACGATGGTATTTTGTTTTTAAAATCGTTGTTATTGTARGTATATGAAAACTATTTGTCACTAAACCCTGGTAGTTAATTGACCACATAGCGATATATCTTTACATTCTATTATCAAGTTATGTCAGTTGATTCGAAAAAATTTTAAAAGAAAGTAATAAATCTTGAACTTCTGGTTTCTAAAATTAATGATGAACATATAATATCTATTTATTTGTTTGTTTTAGAGAAAGTGTGAACGAAATGTCACATGGCTTTTTTTCATATTACATAGAATTAATACTAAATCAAACTTAATAAAACTTTTTTCTAATTTTTAATAGCAATTCAAATAATTTATGTCTTATACATCTTATAAAATCATAGATTGGCATCGTTTTTTGAAAGTGTAAATACACGTATAACATATTTTATACACAGCATTTATATATATATATATATATATATATATATTGTGTAACTATTCTTATATTCTTAAACCAAAAGTTGAAATGCATTTTTATAATTTTATTAAATTATTATTCTAGCCATCTATTCAAATTTTATAATATGTTTTAAATCGATCTTTCATGTATTTACATTTATTTATTGAATGCAAAGTTACATAATAGATACCTAATTACACCTATTTCAACACCTGCGTTGTACCCATATAAAATATATGTATTTTATTACACTTGAATAAAAAAATAAATTTAAAGTCTTTTATTATACACTAAATTCAATGGAATAAAGGATAAACCATTACGAATTATGTCTGTCTGCGTTGATCCGTCGTGTCCTTGACTTTGTATGCAACAAACATAACCACACTATAAAATATTAGGTATCGTATTATATTATATTTTATCCACACAAAATACGAACGTTTTTGTTGACGATCGTAATAGATATAATAATAATTATAGTAATAGTACAATGATAATGATGAATCAAAAATTTTCTTGGAACTGGTTATGGTGTGAGAAAGTGGTCAACCTTAGGTTACCACTGTACACAGTGTACCTGTGCAACACAGTTCAGCGACAGTACGCAAGCAAGTTGGTCACTGGTTGAATAAACACTATTGCTTTCGAAAAAATGACGTAAATATTTGGTTTTTTTTTTTTTTTTTTTTTTTGTAATCTCGTAAACTAAGACCACGACGTAGGAATGGATTTTGCACTTAAAGTGATCGCATTGACAGCGATTTACTTTTGCCCAATCGGTAAGTGTTATGTTTTGATAAATTATTTCAAAAACAGAGTTATAATATTAAGCTGAACACAAGTACTTAATATAAATTTAAAAAAAATATATATATATTTATCTGATACGGCTGTACACCGTAGATATTTGTTTCTGACTGTTTGATATATATTTTATGCGTTGCATAGAGTTCATTAAATATTTTACGTAACTGGATTTAACAGCATAACTGGATTGCATAACTTAAGTTTTTCAAATCATATTTTAAATTAATTAATCAACTTTAAGCTTGCCTTAACTATACAAGTTAAAATAATATTGTTGTATAATATTATAAATACAATTTTTATCTGTATATGTATATATTTATTGGTATGTATTAGTTACACTTATTAATATATTATGCACTTTAATACTTACTGTCTGTAATTTAACTATTCTCATTCAAAGACTAAAAAGTATGCCTGCMGGTCACAGTATTATGTTCGAGCTACAAGCTTAATACTAAACTAATAGCTATATAAACACGAATTTTATAAATACTATCKGTAGGTAGGTAAGTACCTATAATGTCATGACCATTGACATAGTCTACATTTTTCAGTTAAATAACAAATTAATGTGTATTTGAAGTGTAACCCATTAAATTATATTTACATCGGATACACATAACGACATAACTATTTAAACATATATATTTATATTAATCAAATTAGGAATAAAGATGAATCAAACTAAAAATATTAGATAAATGTAGTCCTTTTCGTTGTAGTTGAAAAAATATTACAACTAACTTTGCATAGGTATATTATTATTGCGATATGACTCTAAAATTGAATAGATACTGACAAAATATGAAAATTACATACAAATTACAAACAATAATAGGTGGTATGTATTTTATTATATAACTTTGACAATARCTTCCACCACTTAATATAATATATTTTTTAATGAAATTCTCCGTATATCAATAAAATGAAATGCTATTGATATTTTTACGAGTATACCTACTAATGATTGGCAAAGTATAAATTTGTAACATAAATTTAATTTGATGTTGTTAATGTACATTGAAATTTTTCAATTATGATTTGAGATAAATAGAGTGAAATTTGTGTTTAAATTATATTTAATATAATATATGTTTATATTATATTTGTTATTCACGGCGGTGAATTAAATTGACATTTAAAAAAGTCAGATCGATATTTATAACATAGATGAATGTTGACGTTGAGTTCGCTTCATTCATATATTTGYGCCAAATACTGAAAAAATTGTTGTATCAATATTATATGCTACAAACTATTGTATTCATAACATGATTTTTAGCAAGGTTTGATTAAARTTAAAAAACCAAGTTTGCTGATATTTTTATTYCAGTGAAAAAATACTCTCAAAATCATATGTAAATGGATTTATTCCGTAAATAAATAAATAAATAAATATAACTACTTTATCGATGTTTAAACTATACTCAATTTTTAATTAAGAAACAGTGCAAAATTCAACTTTTAAAAATGTTTTTATACTGGAATTAGTGTKGAATATAGTAAGAAAACATAACCATAAAACAAAAAATATTACTATCTCTGCTCAAAGTTACAAATATTATTTAAAYTAAAAAAATTCTGTGTCTTTAAAAATAAACATAAATTAAAAAAATAAACATTTGTTCATCTGAATCATCTAGTCAATTGCTGAGATTAGTTAGTAAAATTTATTTTTTAATTGGAGAAATTGGTGATAAATTGTAACAAGCTCACGGTAGGTTAAAGTGAAATCAGTGAAACCGATTTCAAATAGCAATTAAAGCCAATTTATAAATGCTGGAAAATATAAAATATGCTCATCAAATTAGTATTTTAATCTTAAAGGTTTTTTACATAGGTACGAAYGTGATTTATATATAAAAAAA